CAACATATGAGATATTGATAAGATAATCAAGACCCATTAAAAGTACATTTATATTTTCCTGAGAACTCTCCAACACCCGAATATGGGACTGCAAAACGGTAAGAAAATCAGCATCGGAGCGCATTAAGCAAAATATATTTTTTTAGAACTAATTAAAGGATTTGATATATAAGGTGAGAGTATAAAGCGCCCAGATCCTTACAAACATGTAAAAGAATAAATATCTAATGTAGACAAGTGGCATTTCTTCATTTCTTTATTATATTGGTAGACTTCCTTAAACAGTTTGCAGGATTGATAATCAAAATATTCAAAGCATAAATTTAGTATGAAAGTGTTGCCAAGCAAATTGGATAATATGAAATAAACTTGCCTTGAAGAATGAGGTAAAAAACAATGCCAAGTTCTGGATAAATGCCTGAAAAACACGTGTGAACAGGCATCAGTTGGATTTTAATTAAAAGTGAGGTGCCTAAGTACTTCGTGCAAAACTGCAAACGAATCACTTTACCTGATCCTCATTGCTTCCTTGTGCATAAGCTTCAGGGATGTTTGTATTTGGCGGAAGAATAGTCTAAATGAACAATAAGAGCAATAGTAGTCACACATGTGATCAAACATGCTCTACAAGAGAGTAACCCATCTTGGATAGGATACTATCCAATATGCAAGCACAGTTCACCTCAAGCATACATAAACTCTCATACCATTTTCTCAATTTGAAGATACAAAAAATTTTACTAATTCAAGTTCAGTAAGAGCTTCAAGAAACAATATTTTATTCACCTGCAGTTGTACCATAAATATTGTGTACATGCTCACATACTGCATGTTGTAAAAATCTCCAAAACTCAGTGAAGCAACCTACCACATCAGCAAATTGCACATTAGAAGCTCTTAGAGCTTAGCATCAAGTGATTATCAAGTATTTTAAATGAAAGCATACCTCTGCTAGGCACTGAAGAGTAAGATTACGGTAAGCAAGCACAGGGAAAAAATTAAGGAGCCTCTCCAGCTGTAACCAAAGCAAATGAAGTTTAGAAGTGTCAGTACTCCGGGAATTTTACTTAACAAGGAAAGACTTTGGACCCTAAGTTGTCTCCGGTTTTGATATGTGGTTCCTCAATTGTTCTAATAGTTGTTAATTGAAAAGTTAGTCTATCTGCTTACCAAATTTTGGTCTCATCTAAACAACTTTTTCTACATTCATAATTTCAAAAAGGGACAACTGAGGGATCAGAAGTGCAAGTTTCTCATAGTACATGAAAGACATGAAAATGAATACAAAATAAACAAGAACGCACCAGTTGTGACTCAAAAATATACCCCAAAGGAATCCATGAGAGGAAAGCATGCAAAGTAGCAAGAGTGGCCCTGACAAGCTCAGTTCTTTGAGAAATTGAGAGCACGTATAGACATAGCTCATGAATGAGCTGAAACTCGCTGTTAACAGTAAAAATAAAGTGTTCACTAATACTGTATATATTCACAAAGATAATAACACAATCAATATAACAATGCATTAGAGCAGAACAAGAGGTGAAAGGCACCAATTCCATAAATGCCACAGTTACTAAAAGGATACAATTCATCAAATATAATAATTCCTTCTAAAAAACACAAAAAAAAGCAAAAAAAACAACTATAAAAATACCCTCATGTTCCCCAATATAAGGGACCTTTACCTTTGACATGGTTTTTAAGAAACAAACAAAATGTGGTTTACCTTATACAAATTCCCGTCAAAGAGAAACTACCTACTCAAATATTTCTTAGCTAAAAAAATTGAAGAGTTGAGTTCAAACTTCAAAAGTGATTTTACAGTGGTGTTTAATATGGAAATGGAAATAATACTAGAAATGGGCTAAAAAGAAAGTACAAAAAGTAAAATGAGATGGATGAAGGAACAATGGAGTGGTGTCACATCTTTGGCGTATATAAGGCGATAGAGGGGACCGGTACGTAACAGATAGGGGCCCATGAGGGTAGTGAAATAAGTTAATATGGTGTTTATAAAGTATTACCTGTTTAGTGACTGTTTTAGCTCTTTGATCTTCAGTTGAGTCAGTTCACCCCTTGAGAAGTCAAACACCTCCTCACTGAGCAGCTGTGAAAAAAATGGTGTGTGGTCATAATTTCTAGCTCTAATAGTTTCCAGAATAATAAGGAAGATGTTCTTAACAAACCTTCAATATAGCCATGCAGTTCTCACAAATGGTTTCACTAGTCTTTGCTGCTGCAACTAAATCAGGAATGAAGCTTTGCCATCTGGTGGGCCATTCATGCTTCAAAATCTAAGCTTAGTAAAAAATAGTATTTATGAGAGAAGCACAACACTTTTAACCTTGAGACTTTAGGCGTACACCAGAAAAGAAAGGGAAAAAATATAAGGGAAAGGTTACCTGAACCAAAATAACATTTAATTTGTTCACATATAATCTTTCCCGCCGAAGAGATGCTTCATCACTAGAGAGCTGACAAAACCAAAGAATAAAGAGTTGCACCTTTTTCTACTCAAGTATATACAACAGCCATAGGAGTTTTAGGGGAAAGAAGTGCTAATAGAGAAAAGGATCTCACCTTCACAATAAGTTCAGAGATGTAGTTTTTCATCCCATCTCGTTGCTCATTAGGCAAAGCATTCCATCTATATTTAATGACACCTTCCAGCACCTATCATGAGCATTCCATGACATATTCAACGATCAGTTTCTTTGTGCTATTAAATTTATCAACTGCCAATAAGATGCTCACATCTACTAGATGATGCAATAGAGCAGACAACATTACAATGGTGTTGATGGGCCGAGGCATATAATTAACAACTCAGGGTCAGCCACATAATCATTTGACTCAACTTCAGAGAACAAGTTTGAGAGATACATTGGGTGGCTGATAATGCTTGTGTGCCTGACAATCCTCTCATTTTCCCATTTAAACGCTAGCCTCATTATAAGTGTATTTAAGCTAAGCTTATATAAAGTAACCCTAGTCTCAATATTCAACACCACTTTTTGTTCCCACTTATATCACAGTTGGGTCAATATATTTCCTTGTTTTCAATAATTTGTCTAGTTGTGCATAGAATCTTATTATTAAAATATACTCATATTGTAAAACATGTATTAGTTAATCGATCCATGCTTTATGATTTCACTATGGTGCTGATGCATTAATGGAGCACAAAACATAATAAAAAATTGAGGGATTTGCTAATCCTTAGTTTCTTTGAATTAGGAATTGTTCTGTCTTTAAAGAAATGTAATTTGATCAGAACTTTTAAGAGTTCTGATTTTCTTAGACTAATGTAATCTGGTAAAATGATCTTGAATTTTTTTATCTTATCTAATTAGATTATGTTATACTATATTATATATAGCATCTGGTATATTCTAATCTTTCTGGTTTGGTCTAGTGGTTTGGGTCTAATAAAAATGAGAATAAGTAATAAACAAAAAAGAATAAGGTAAAAAGATCAACAAAACAGTTATAATCCTCTATTTAAGAGGTTGTCTAAGGTTTCTTATCACAAAACAGTTGTAATCCTTTGTAAGGGAAAGCATATTGTAGCAGGAAGAAAAATTGGAATTGCATGAAAAGTGTTATTGGAGGTTTTCTTTTATATCCAACTCAATGTCCCTCTTCCTGTTATACCCGAGACCCGGGGTATAATCAAGTTGCTATTTGAAGATGGAATTATGGAATGGTGAAGAGGAAATGAGGGGGACGAAATATGGGGGTGGAACAAAGAGTTGTTTTTTTGGGTTTTTGATGAAAGAAAAGAATAAGTTCAAGAAGAAGAAATGGTGAGAAATGAAATTGGCAGAGGTAAAGTGAAGGGATAAACCAAGTTGGTGTTAAGAGATATAACACACTCTTATCTTAACTTGGGGTTTGAATCTAGAATTCAATCAAGATATGACACACTTAATTAAATATCTAGAACCTAAAACTCACACTTAAGAGAACCACTCTTAAGATATAGAATTAGGAATTTGGCTAAAATAGCATCACACTATTTTAAGAGAACACTCAAAAGAGTAAACAAGGTTTTTGAATTAAAATATGCTGCTTACAATGGCCATAAGGCCGAACTATATATGCACNATGTGAGGAAAGTCCAAGGCTGTGACAAAGCTTTATTTAGCATATTTTGGAAGGGTCTATTTCATCCATATGTAGCACAAATAAGTGGGAAACATTGTGGGGCTTGGTGGGATGTTATTTGGCTAAAAATGGGGCTGGTTTGTTCGGCCTCTAGTGAATAAAATCACAAGGAGATATTGGATGAATTTGGAGGATATTCTTTGGCTTGTTTTGAAGAGATTATTTCGGCCTTTTGTAGGGGAAAAGGTGAGGAAGGTACACTACATGTTTGGTTGTGAAATTAGTCAACAAAAGGAGAAACTTTTACAATTCAACTTTAGACTCTTTTTGCTGATTTTTTTATTTGTGGTAAATGGTAATTTTGGTTGGATTTTAGGAACCAAAATGGGGCTGGAATTTCATCCCTATGTAGGAACAAGAAGGGAAGTGTGTTATTTGATTATTTAAGGCTTTAAAAAAAAAAAAAAGTGGTCTTCTTATTTTCGGTCAAGGGACTTAAAATAAGTGGAGGAAGACTTTATTTGAAAGGAAATAAAAGAAAAGGCATTTTGGATGTTTAGGGATGGTTTGAGGTTTTGGTGGAGCCATCCAGGGGTATAACACTTCCTCTTCCCAATATGAATCTCTAGTCTATCAGGGCATCAGTCGACCAAACCCCATCCTCTATCGTCATCAACAGGCATGCAACACTTAGCTTAAGTGCTTAACAAATAAACATATAAATTTGGTTACCCTCATCACTGTTATGGGGTGTTATGGGCAGTAACAGTACTATTGAACCCGCTTTCAAGTATTTGCAAAAAAATGTGTCTATGCCCTAGTGATTCAAGGAGATAAAGCTGAGATCTCCTCCACTGTAGTCTTCACTTGTAAAACACAATTTACACATGCAGCATCACCTCATAATCTAAAAGAGTATGATGAAACAACGTTTGATTGTTCATGGCAAGTCCCAATCCAAAAAATGAATCTAAAATCATGCAACAACCCAACAACCTTACGAGAAATATGTTGGTCCAAAACCTAAAAGACAATTCTAGCCAATTTGACTACCTTGTCCAATTGGTGGACACCTTGGAAGCCAGAGAAGCACCCTGCCAATAAATATTGGTTCCGGGGGGAATATTCATCCGTGGTTCCTTATTTTCAACTATAATATTAAAAATCTAATGATCATAATCGTTTTGATTAGCAACCAATGCTTATATATAATATTGTATAAACATACATACACCCATGCGTATGTATATGTGTATGTGTATGCAAAATCTTAACAAGTTTAAGTTCAATTGAATAAATCCAAAGACATGAGAATGCACATATCATAAGAATAAGACTACTTAAAAAGTTAAATGCATGCATGATGTTACCATGTCATTTGAAACAAACCTGTAAAGCAAAAAACTTGGTATTCAAGTTCTGTGTGTTGGATAGGATGTGAACCACTTGAAGCCACATGTCTGGATTAGTTTGCAGATCACGCAAAATATGATCTGCAGCAGCCCTCTGCAAAATCACATCAGAAAAAAAGAATTCAATAACCCAAAAAATTCTTTTTTTGGTCACACCCAAGAAGAAACAAATGCATGCATTGAGGGATGACAAAAGGCCAATGTATTGAAATGAAATAAATGTGCCATAAACTCCAAAGAAGAATAAGCATCATATATTTCAAGATCAAGCATTTTTTCCCTAATTAGATGGAAAAAATGTATCCATTCTTAATGTTTTCAACTTCAACCACTATTGCATCTGTCACATGCAACTATTGCATTTGAATGGGATCCCAAATAATGAAGAGTGGTCATTGCTACAAGAAAAATGCTCGGAGGAACACCATACTAAGTAGTTCAATAGCCTCTCCTATTTATGATTTTAAACCCAAATTTCATCATGACTATATGATAGTAAATCTAGAACCTAACTATGAAAATAATGGCATACATTCTAATAAATGAGGGTATTACATTTTGTTCAGGATACAAAGAGCCCACCAAATGCAACATATCAATTTTGGTATTTCCAATTAGTCTACATCATTGAAGGTCTTAAGGTCTACTCTACGAAAATAGTTACACTTGAGAACATAACATTTTAAATAAAAAAAGAAAAATCTAGTTGCACTTGTCAGGTATCTTTTGAAAATACTCATATTTAGTTAGTGTTGCATCATTCTTGACTATCCCTTGGCTAATTCATGAATCATGACTGCATTAAATTATTAAACCCCTACTCTTTCTCTATTAGCTTTTAATCTTAAATTTTTAGGTTACAACTTAAATTTGGGTTATCTGGCATTGCACAAAGTATTATCCTTTAAATATTAAACTCATATTGTATACCATTAGCTGCACCCTAAAGCAAGAACAGATTTAACACCATATATATCTACATACTCCGGGTATATTGACAAATCAGACAAACAAACATAAACCAAAAAAAGGATAAGCATGATGCATAACGAATGCATGCACAGATTGACTCTGCGAAGGGAAATTCTAAACAGTTGTTCAGATAAAATCATTGAAACGTATACAAAGAAGCAGCAGTACGATAAATAATTTTAATAAATCGGGTGTAACAGGCCAATATTAAAAAAAGGTAGAAAACAAAACCCCTCCAATGAAACTAAATAGAGAACATTCTAGAGGCAGATGCCGAGGATCACCTCATCCTTAGATCCAGTTCCATAGAAAGCATTGACAGTTGCGTCCAACAATGCGACGTCAATCGGCTGGCTCAAATCCCTAAGCTTCTCCGCCGCCATGTGAGAGTGATAAACCCTAGAAACCACGCTAGCAAAGAATGGCAGAAACCCTAATTCGGAAGGGCAATCAGCAGGGCTCACTCGTCCTAGAAGAGAGGATAAATAGATACAGGAAAAGGAAGCAGTGGTTGTTTTTCTGAAAGGACAAAAAGACAGCTTCAAATTCAAGCAAAGAAGTTTGAGAGAGCGACTTTGAAATTGGTTTGAGCCCTTCCCTCCTGATTTATATGCTGAAAATACAGGTATTTTTATACACAAAAAAACGGAGTACGAGTAACTTTTTGGAAGAAATTAAAAATTAGAAAATCTAGAAGGAACGAGAGTAACTTTTTTCGTAGAGTAGACCTAAAGACCTTTTGTGTGTTTTTCTAACTAGCATCGGGGAGCATTTCATTATTAGATTTGTTATTAATTTCCTTCTAAAGAAAAAACAGAATAAATGATATTAAAACATTATTATTATTAATACATTACAAATGACATGTGTAGATAAAAACAAAAAATTGACCATTACAACATACTTCAAATATTTTGGAAAACTCCCTTAAATACAATATTAGTGGTATGCTCGACCACATTATTATCAGTGTCGCAAATCAAAATTTTAAGGCCTTGACGATTTGTCACTCGAGAAAATGCAACGTATAACTGTCCATGACTAAAGACCGGTTTTTTCAGTAGGAGACTAGCGTGCTTCAAGGATTGGCCTTGACTTTTATTTATTGTCATAGCGTATGAGGTCATTATCGAAAATTGTTGTCTCTGAAACTTAAAAGAAATCCGCGTATCCAAAGGTGTGAGTTCGAGTCTTGGAATCACAACCTCGTGACCAACGTGTTTTCCTGCAATCAATTTTTCTTGGATGACATGAGATCCTAGCCGACTTATAATCAATCGAGTACTATTACAAAGACCCATTGTTTGGTCAACATTTCGTAACAACATAACAGGTGTTCCAACCTTTAAAGTCAGTTCATGGTTTGGGACGCCTGAAGCACAGATGCTATTTAAAAATTCTGGTGAATGTAAGTCTGCTAATAAATTAGAGTTTTAATCTGATTTACATATGTTGTCCGAACTTAAATATGTCTTCGACTCCTCACCAACATTAAGAAGGCCAATCATGTATTCATTTACTGTGTCTACCACATCTAATGTTGGTGCCATTCTTTCTTGTAAATACTGTGTATCATTCGCAATCCTGTTAAAGTTTGGATATGTCTCCTGCATAATTTATGCAATTGGATCACCGCTATTTTTTATTAACATATCACTAGGGATTAGGATAACTATAATTCCATCATTTAGTTCACCAGCTCTTCCATCGCCCACCTGTGCAATCCATTCGACGAAGTGCATCCTCGATTCATAGTCTTCAGTGTTAGTCGGTTTAGTCGTTGTGCCCACGCCTTAGAGGGGGGTGAATAAGGCGTTTAAAATCTTTTCGGAGTTTGGTAAAAACGGTGTTGGCAAATGCGGAAGCAATATATAAAACGCAGAAATAAAAGCGTAAATAAAATGCACACCGATTTTATACTGGTTCGGGAAACCCCTACTCCAGTACCTCGAGGCTCCTCCTCAAGGATTTCCAAATCCACTATGTCCCGGCCTCTTGAACTCCGTCAAAGCACCGCACTAGTTTTGGCAAACAACCCTTACCAATAGGATTCACTCCGAGATTTCACAACGGCTATCTTGAACCGTTTACAACGAAGATTTAACGGCTATCTTCTACCGTTCCCCCAAGGATTTCAAAGGCTATCCTTGAACATTTACCCAAGGATTTATACGGCTATCCTTGACCGTTACAATGTGAGAATTTAACGACGATTCTCGACCGTAAGAAGGTGTGTTTGAATAACACAAAAAAAGATTCTACACAACGGTTAGAATATTAAAATGAAGAACAAAACTTAGCCGGTGTAGAAGGAAAGTATACTCTCTCAAAAATACAATTCAAACTTATGAATATGAGAGTATATAACTAGAAACACAAGCTCAAAGTGTGTGTATAAAATTCAGGAATTTAAGGTTCTTAAAATAGCCAAAATATTGAAAATAATTAATAAAAGGATGAACACACTTAGAATAAAAAGAGAGGATGTTTAGATCTTTGTTTCTTGAAGAAATATGAAGGATTAGGCTTGTATTTATAGTGGAAGATGTTAATTAGCCGTTTGGAGGTGATTAGGGGTGATTTGAATTTAAATTGGCAATTTGCTACAGTGATTACAACGGATCTGGTACCCTTCGCGGTAGGGTCAGTACCGCCCGGTACCTAGGTACCGTGACCACGGTATAGCCTACCGTTTGGGGGTACCGTGTAGGCCAAAGGTTTGGTTCGCCTCTGGCGGTACTTGGTTAGGACGGGTTGGGCCAACCGTCTACGCCTACCGTCGGTACCAAGGTACCGTTACACGGTATGGGGGTACCGTGTAGGCGGTATACCCTACCGTTTGTGGTACCGCTAGGGGTACCGTGCCACTGTCCTGATTTTTCCAAAATTCCCTTAATCCTTCGTGTTTGAGTTTGAACCTTTTAGATGTTTGAAAATGTTTATGGGATGGTTTTAAACATATTTTGTGAGTGCTTTTGAGCTTGTGAATATAGGTATATAAAGTCATATCCTTACATCGGTTTCTACCTATATTCTACGCTAGTTTAGTGTTTTGACTTCGTTCTTGAGTACCGAATCTTAATGGATTCTTGTTTTACCTGAAACACTTAAACAAACGTTAAGCTCTTATATTGTTTGTTAACATCAAAACATGAAGCTTAGCAAACCAAGACTAACATTCAGGATTAAGCAAAGCTTTCAACCTCATGTTTTCTGTGAGGTGCAAGACCGTACAATGCTTCCATACATAAGACGAATGGATTGTTGCATTGACAATGTCTTGTCTAGTACCTTTTGGGATCACATGTAATATTTGGCGAAAATCTCCCCCAAAAACAATTGTTTTAATTAGCTCCAAAAGGATGGTCGGCATTGCTCGGATTAACCACCCACATAATATCACGAAGGCTCTGGTCTAAGGCTTCAAAACAATGCTTATGTGTCATAGGTGCTTCGTCCCAAATTATTAATTTAAAACAAATGATCAGTTCAGCTAATGGACTGCCTTGCATTATATTGTTTTTTCTGGATAAATTTCTTAAACTCAAGTTAACAATTTTATTTTGAAACATAATAGGTGTATATAAAAATAAATATTTTAATGGTCGAATTATATTATTCATAATTGTAAAATATCAAACGGGAAGTTGATTTTAGGATGAAGAGAGACACAAAATCTTTTATGAGATTACTCCATCCGTCACAATTTAAATCACCCATTTCGGTTTACAGTGTCTGGCTGTAGTTTTTTTCAAATCATTTTATGTGAAAAAAGATGTAGAATTAAAAAAACAAAAATTACATACCCTCAAAACCTTCTCCGTTTTCAAAAGTTATTTGTAAAGTCTTTATTGTTTCTAAATAGAGCACACATGTCTCCCTTACCTATTTTTAAAGCAAAAATGACATTTATGTTGTAAAGTCTCTATAGTTTCTAAATAGAGCACACATGTCTCCCTTACCTATTTTTAAAGCAAAAAATGACATTTATGTCCTTTCCTTTCTCCGATATTGAATTTTCCTAATTTTATTTTCCTTTATTATATAAATATATAAAATAAAATATACGCTTTCTCATCTCAAATTAGAATTTTTCATAATGTACTTTTGAAAACAAAAGAATTTTTTGGAGAATGTAACAAAAGAAAATGAAAAATAAAATATTATGTGCAAAGTAAAAAATAATAATTGAAAAAGGTAATGAAAAGAAATAAAAATATAAAAAACAATCTTTTTCTTTAACTCTATATTTTATTTCATCTTTCTGTTCTTCATTTTTTAAAGTCCTTAAAAAATTATGTTACTCTTATAAAACAAATAAGTTAGAATTTGTAATTAGAGATAGACTGAGTATGTGTTATCTAGTTTTTTATTTTATTTATTTTGCTTTTACTTATTATGAAAAATTGTATTTCATTTCATTTTTTAATTTTTCATTTTTTGTAGCATTTTCTAAAGAATATTAATTTTTTTTAAAATTAAATAAATGAAAATTTTTAGAGGGCGTATATTTTATTTTATTTATTTGTATCACAAAAAAATGCAAATAAAAGAATGAAATTTGAAGATAGAGAAAAACCAAGGGCAAAGATGTCATTTCATGTCTAAGAATAGGCAATAGGGGCGTCTATGCACTATTTAAAAACCACATAGGTTTTACAAATAACTTTTGAAAGTAGAGGGGGTTTTGGTGCTATTTTTGTAAATCATAGAGGGACACCCATGCTATTACCCCTTATTTCTACTAAGGGATATTCTTATTTCAATGAAATTTCTAAATTTTCAAAAAATAAAAATTACTTTGTATACACATTATTTATTGTTATAAGTAATAATATTAAGGGTGTTGCTATACCCACCCTCATTTTAGCTCTATCCAATCCTTTTATATAGTCACTTACTTTTGTAGTTATAAGGTGAAAATTCTCAATTTAACATTAATGGAGTAGATATAATCAAAAAGAGGGTGGATATAACACCTTAATAATAATTATAATAAGAATAATAATAATAGCATTAATATCCTTATTGTTAGTTATTAACAACAACAAAAACTGATGATAATGGTGATGAGTGATTTGAAAGAGAAGAATTAACTTTTATTTGGAATGGAATAAAAACGAAAATGTGTTAATGTATTATGTTGACACAGAAGGAATAACCTTGACTGCATCGGTTCCCTCTCACAACCTCTCACACACATTGCACAGACAACTTACTGATGTCTTACCCCCCAAGCAGTCGTCGTGTGTTACTAATAATTTTTGCAGGAGATTGGTTAGTTGGTTACTGCATAATTCTACTACTAGTCAGTCTACTACGTAACATTCAGGATTGTCAGTGAGGCTGGTTTAGAGGATGGTTCCTTTTAAAAAGAATCAAGTTGTTACTCCATTCAGGTCTAATAAATAAATGCCTGCTGCATCATCAATCGAAGAACCATCCAAATGCTGAATTCTTCTAAATTTTTTAGTAACTTGGATAAAATATCCAAAGATTTACAAGATATTTGGAATATTCTTTACAAGGATAAATATGGAAATTTACATATAGTTGCAGAAGCATCCCAAACTTTCGGGAAGAAAATGTGTCAGGTAGATCGTGCCATTCTCTGCTGTTAATGAAAATTTAGGGGAATGCCAGTCCAATGATACCCAAATGCATTTCACTTAATGACAAAGAATCCGCTCAGAAGAACTAGAGAATGAGACATCAGAGGAATTTGGCCTCGATCTCCTCCAGTGTTAGCCCCTTCGTCTCGGGTACAATGAAGTAGACGAAAATGACAGCTGCGATGGCTATGGCACCAAATATGAAAAACACGTTTCCAGCTCCAACCAGTTCCTGCACACAATGCATATATAGCATGAGTCCTGGGAAGTATCTAATTCAAAAATCTGCTCACAAGTGTTGGGTTTACTTGGTTAGCATTTGAGTGATGATTTTTCATTTTTCGAATCACCATTTCTGTGTACTTCGTTTGTATTTATGGCCAAAATGAGATAAGATGATTCAGCTTTTCCAAATTAGTTTTTGGAAATCACCCCCAAGATGGCACTTGATTTTAGTGATTTTCAAATATCATCTGATTCTAAAATCAAAATTGTTTCTTTTTAAAATGCAAATCACCCCTTATAATACCTCCATAGGAGAAAATGCAAAGGTCACCAGAGCATTAACCCCAAAATTCACAAGAACTGCAATGCCTAAACCCCTTCCTCTGACTCGCAAGGGAAAGATCTCTGAAATCATCAACCACCCCATTGGACCAAATGATATCTGCATGCAATTCATCAATTAATTAACATAAAATAAATGAGAGAGAGAGAGAGAGAGAGAGAGGAATTACCTGGTAACATCCAACATACAATAGCAGAGAACTGACAGCAACCGGTGGCACGTCACTGAGAAAGGTGTAATACGATCCAAGAAGAAACAATGCTACTACCTGCAAGATATAGAGCACTGTTAGTATGTTTTGAGGATCCTAATGATATTTGTACATTGTTTTATGTGAAATTCGCACTTAATAGGACTAAAACATAAGTCATTTCCCAATGTAGGACTTAAACTTTTTTATTCCCTAAATAGGACTTAATAATGACTAGTGAGAAGAATAATGTCCAAGTGATGCCGGACATTTAGTTGAATAATGACTAATAGATAATGACCAATGGTCCTACATTGGGAAATAAAAACATATGGTCCTATATTGAGAAAGTCATTATGTTTTAATCCTATTTAGGTAAATTACTCTTGTTTTATTTGGAATCCGGGAAATGGAAAGGGAAAATAAATAAGTTGAACAAGAAAATCAGAAACTTCTGAAATAAAGAGAACTTACAATACCAGAGATACCTCCAAGCAGGAGAGGTCTTCTCCCAAGTCTATCGACAGCTACAACTGCCACACCTGTCATAATCAGCTGGAAGGAAGAATAAAGAAACTAGTCATTAAGAGCCGCCCTCACGAACACATTAGTGAACGTAGAAGATATCGATCCTTAGGTGCCCATAGATGGAAGAAGGGGAGATGAGTCTTTGACTAGCTTGTCTTTATTGGAGTTTTGATTCCAACCATGATCATTTTATTAATGAATACTTTGCATAACAATTCTATTTATACTACTCCCATGAGTCTTGGTGAGCAAGTTAATGGAGTCCTAATATAATAGGGAGTACAATATTGTTATTAGGAATATTAACTAAAATTGAATCTTAACACTAACTAGGAAACTATTACTATCAGTATTCAGTACTACTAAAACAAGGACTAGCTGACTAGTTACTAATAACAACAACAAACCCAATAAAATCCCAAAAAATTACAGCCTGGTGAGGGTGTGAGACACTGGTGTCAAACTTGGTGTAATTATAGTTTGGCCTAATAATAATATTCTAATAATAAGAAGAACAATAACTATAATAATACTACCTCCGTCCCAATTTATTTGTTTAGTTTGACTTTTCCAAGTTAAATTCGACGAACTTTGATCCTCAATTAAATAAAAGTTATATTACATATTAGTATAAAAATGATTTCATTAGATTTATGTTGAAGAAAACTTTCAAAATTTTATTTCATTGTATTAATATGTCATACAAATGCAGTGTAATTGATGATAGAAGTGCGTCCAGTTTGACTTTGAGTCAAACTCAACAAATACATTAGACAAAGGGAGTAATAACAATTGTATAATTACACCCCTTCTGAAAATCAAGCTTGTCCTCAAACTTGAAGAGAGATACATTGCATCAGCACTTTACATGATCCAACAACATCAATTGCAACTCCTCAATGAGGTGTGAGGACAAAATAACACATGGAAAAGGGTAGGATAGAAACTGCTCTGGTACCAAATTGTTACAAAGACATTATAGTTCATGTAGAAGAAGATATCAATCCTTCTGTGCCCGCGGCTAGGAGGGGAGAAGATTCTGTGCCTAGCATCTCATAATCAGTGTTTTGACTTCAACCATGACGATTCTATTAATGAATTATATGTGTGTGCGTGCGCGTGTATATATATATATGTGTGTGTGTGTGTGTGTATGTATATGTATATGTATATATATGTGTGTGTATATATATAAATATGTATATATATATGTATGTATATATATATGTATGTATGTATGTATATATGTATGTATATATATATGTATGTATGTATGTACTAGTATCACACCCGTGCGTTGCACGGGTCATAGTTACGGTACTAACTTAAGATCATTTTTAGGAATATAAATTGGTATATAATGAAATATAGAGATTTCATTATTTTAAAGTACAAAAGTAAAATGATTTACAAATTTTGAAAGACTTTTTTATAAATTACATCACTCGTATGTATAATTTGTGTGAGCATTAACTTCGTTGTATATCAGAATCTTCAAGCCATTGCGATTTATTACTCTTTAAACTGCAACATACACTTTCTCATGACTAAATACCATTTTCCGTAACAATAATTCAATATGTTTCAGATATTGTTCTTGATAATAATTCAATAATTTGACTTATCTAAGTAATAATTCAACATATTAGTGTATTTATTTTGGAATTTGTATTTTTTAATTTTATTTTCGTATTTAAGTGGTACCATTAACTTACCCTATGGTATTTATTTTCTATTTTATTTTAGATCACTTACCATTTTTACACGTATCCATGCTTGTAAATTATAGTATTAATA